CCAAGTAGCTGGGACTACAGGCGCCCGCCACAACGCCTGGCCATTTTTTGGTTGCAGCCATCATTGTTGTTTGGCGGGCCCTGGCTGGGGATTCAAACCCGCCACCTTAGGTGTATGTGGCTGGCGCCTTAGCCACTTGAGCCACAGGTGCCAAGCCTATTTGGTTTCAAACATAATGAGTTCAAGGTCTTTTTGAGAATTCTATATGGAAAAATTTAGTTGGAAATGTGAGTCTGGTACTCTGAATAGTCGCAAGAACTAGAAATATAAATAGTGAACTCAGCAATGTCTTTATGATAAGAGTTAAAAAAGAAAGAATGTGTCAGGGCCAGGAATTGAAACAGCCAGTGTGGAAGACAGTTTTAAGGAGAAAGGAGAGGACATCCTAACACAAAGCAGTGAACACAAGCAACTGACCAAGAAAAGACATGGGACTTCCCAAATAAGGTCTTTTAAGGAGGCTCAGCCCCTGTTGCTTGGCAGTTTGGACATAGGTCATATACGCTGGGGTGGCAGGTTGGAGCCCAGCCTGGGCCTGCCAACAACAAGGACAACTACAACAACAATAACAACAAAATAGCTGGCCATTGTGACAGGTGCCTGTAGTCCCAGCTACTTGGGAGGCTGAGACAAGAGAATCACTGAAGCCTAAGAGTTTGAGGTTGCTGTGAGCTGTGATGCTACAGCACTCTCCAGAGGGCATAGTGAGACTATGTCTCAAAAAACAACAAAGAAAACAAAAATAGATCTTTTAAAGAGATGGGGACCAATTCAAAATGCCCTGTAACCTCAGCTTCTATATCTCCTGGTCTCTACTCTCTGCACACTTTCTATCCAGTGAAACTGTCACAAGGAACATATTAAAACTTGCAGGAGACTGTGTTTGCCTCTTCCCACTTAATTCACAGCCTGATCCACAGTCAGTGGGATGAAGCCACCATCTGGCATGGCCAAGGCTTGGTCATTTAGCAAACCCATGTGGAGAGCAAGAGAAAGTCAGCTTAGGAGGAGAGGAAGAGAAGTTGTGGCAGAGGAATGTGAAACATTGAATAACAAAACTCATTTCTGTGGCCTGTTCTTTTGCACATGTCCATCAGAATATGGTTTGTGGTTTTAGACCTCTCTGAATGCAAAGAGATGCCTGGAGGTTAAGACAAGCTCAGGTGCCTTGCATTCAATAAGCTTTAAAATTAAGTTGTCTGTAATTCTAAACAGTCCCATGGAACAGTGTGGAGATCTCATTTCTTCTAGAAATTAAATCCTGGGATTTCTAGAATGAAAAACCAGAGCTTAATTGTGGTGCCTTCACAAAGCTGTCACTTCCTGTATTAAGGAAGGATTCCTTTGGGAACGCTATTGTGGTTTCTGAATGTTTACCCATGTGAGATGTGTATAAACACAATTTCACACATACACATCTAACACCTCCCTCCCCAACTGGCTGATCCTAGAGCTTCTTCTCACAAAGGGAAAGTAAGAAAACAGCCTGGCACACATTGCTGGCCAGCTCTCAGATTCTTGAAGATTATATCTGAAAGCTGAAATCCAGATTTTTCTCTACTTAATCTTTTGCCCAAAAATAAAAAGGGGGTACAAAGAATAGGAAGAAACAGAAGAAAAGGGAGAAACAAAGAAAAATATTGTGAACGTCTCTAAAATTTCCTTCTAACCCCTCTCCTTCTCAGTTGCTGTACTGACATTTCCTTTTTTCTTCTTTTTTACCCCTGGCCTGCCAATAAACCCTAAACTCAATGAATATTCTGTGTGTACTGGCTAATGGAGTCTTCTGGACTGAGTCTGTTAAAATAATTTGCACAATATAACTGTTTACTGCTTCATGTGTCAATTCATGTGCTGGGTGCAATTTTGTTTTTATCCAAGGAGGATGAAAATCTTCCAGGATAGCTTCTCTAATAAGTACTCATTATATTATTTTGTCTTAAGGAAACCCTAAGTGAAATTTAATCATGAAAATCAAGATTTCTAAATAACCAATCAATATGAGCCTAGTAATAACCTTTTTCAGAGATGTGGTAGACTTCTAAATACCCAAGTTTAGCCAACCTTCTTTACTGAGCTCCAGAGGTAAAATCTAGGAAGATAAATCTAAACTTAAGTAATCTCTTCAAAGGTAAACTAAGGTGACAATTCTCAGGTCCTTCAGCAAAGCCTGCAGTATCAGAGTATATGAAAGTCTATCATCTTCTCTTCTATGGAATGTTGTCAGGGCAATTGTGGTGACTGCAAATGCCTTTATAATCAGAAATACCATCTTTAATAGTAACTTGGTCTCACAATGAGAGGGGTCCCAAAAGGAGATAGACTAAAGAGTGCAGTGTACAAGTTATCCCATGTAGTTCAGTTCTCTTCAAGTCTTAGTTTTGACACTGAATACATTGTGATGAAAGACAAACTCGTTTCTCTTCCTAAATTTCCTTTAGAATCTGAATCATTTCTCTTTCTGACTCTTCCAAATATGTTTTCTCATATTCAGAAAAATTATGACTTCCTGTCTGTTCTTTAGAGCATCTCCAGATTGTGACATCCATGGCTTCAGTAAGTCTATATGAATGGTATAGGCAGCCATAGTCATTACGCCACTAACATTCACCTAGTACAGGGCATATAAAATCCATCAGAAACTTCTGGGTAATGTTTATTTTAGAGGCATCAAATAAGCACTGCCCCACCTTACCCCATCCTCGCCACCACCCCAGGCAGAATATATCTTCTCCTGCAGAGGTCATACCAAGTATTGTCCCAGAATTTCTAGGAAACTTTAATACCTACCACAATATCTTACAAACATGCAAAAGCACAAATCAGCCATTATTTGGTAGACTAGAGTTTAAGATTTACAAATTGTACAATGTCAGAACTGAAAGGCCTATTAAAAGCTATGGCCTCGTGCCTACTTTCTGTAGATAGACAGGAAAACTGAGACTCTGAGAATGCCAGAGCTTTCCCAAAGCACAGGTATAAGACAAGGATGAATTGGTCTCCTTCAACCTCATTCAGTCTTTCCACCATCCTAGGCCACTGCTACAAAGCACATTCAAAGATAAAGACCTCTTGTCATATAGCACAGCCTTGTTCCCAACAGACACAAAATGAGAAGCACAGCTCTGAAGAGTCTGCCATCATTCATGGGGAAAATATTTTGCCCACAGATCCTCTGTGATGATTGTCACAGAGATTTTCAAAAAAAAAACTATGAATTTTTATGTATACTCAATATTACCAGGTTATGAGATTGTAGGAAAATAAGGAGCAATGAAAGTAAAGGAGAAAATTGCAAACAAGTTACATTTGTAATCTTCGAGGTAAGAAGACTCCATCTTTGCCATTGAGCTGCTATGGTGGGTTACTGAATTGTAGGTACATTCCTAAATAAAGATGATCAATATCAAATTATTAAGCAAAGAAAGATCTGGCAACTTTTTTCCTGAAGTCATACTTTGGGTATAAATCATGGCTTTTATGAGTTCTGTGTTTGGGGCATTTCACACCACCTTCTAGATCTTTAGGTAAGAACAATTTCATAAAAAACAGGAGGATCAGTGGGTAATAATGTCTTACATGCTATAAGGCACCATAAGGTACATAGTGCCTACTATGTACCTCAATGCCTACTATCTACTGTTAAATACTTTATATTTTTTGTTTTATTTAACCCATGTAGTAATTCTTAGGGTACTTTGGAAGACATAGATGTAGTGACAGGAAGTACAATAAAGCATGTTCTTAGTTTAGAAGCTAAACCAAGATTGAATCAAATCATGAAGTCAAGAAACACTAGTGAAATGTAATAAAGAGGGGATGAAGAAAAGGCCATGATCCCTGAACATACACAGAAGCAGGGAAGCAAACCTCTATCACAGAGGAGCACTGCTATGTTTACACCTGTCTTCACCTATTCTTTCTGACTTCTGCCACCAGATTTGGAGTCCCAAGATCCTTCTCATGTGGTTGGCCTGTGTACTTGCTCTACAATCCATCAGAGAGACTTCCATTCCATTCTGGTAGCTTAAACCAGCCCCTTCAATTCTCTTGTCTTCAATTGAATAAATCTAGTTCCTTAATTACCTTTTCTAATGGGTTAAAATGACCTTATGACCTTCTAAATCACCTGATGGGTGGCTGCTTAAAGCTGTTCTAAGTTCTGTTCTTCAGTTTCACCAGTCAGTTAGCACATGTATGGGCTGTGGGCAGAGACTAGTGTGAGACTCTAAACTCTGGAAGTCCATGATCTAATGACATTTAATTTCTCTAAGATCACAAAAAGGTACAGATAGAAACCTGCAGATCTCATTACAGAATTAGAGGATCACCCATTACTACTTACTTTATTCCCCCTTTTGATTCTCAGGGAAAACAGCTAGGTTTGTCCTCCCTTCACACAGTAGTGGAAGCATGGGGGTGGGGGCAATGTATTCTTCACTTTAGGTAAATTCCAGAGCCTCCCAGAAAGAGATAGAGGTAGAGGAAGGGTTCCATAAGGACATAGTGGAAGAAGCAGGGTTTTAGTAGAGATTTTCAAGATCCTAGAATATCAGAGCTGCAAGGCCCATAGAGGTCAGTTTTCAAGTGTCTTATTTTATAGCTATATAACTGAGGACCAGAGTTTTCCAAGATCATGGTTCTCCCTTTAGTCACGTTAATTACATGTTCTGCTCAG